TGAGAGAACAGCTCTGAGAAAACTGTGACTGACCCAAGGTCACCCAGCAGCTGAATGTGGAGGAGTGGGGAATCAAACCCAGTTCAACCATATTAGAGTCTGCACACTTAACTACTACACCAGACTGTCTCCTAACCACTACACCAAACCACTACATTTGCTGTTCACCCTCTCCATATATCAGTGAACTGTAACCTTCCATTTCAATGTATCAGAGGAAGTGTGTGCACACACGAAAGCTCATACCTTGAATAAAACCTTGTTGGTCTTAAAGGTGCCACTGCACTCAAACTTGGAAGGAAAAGAGTTGTGCATGGAGAGAAGAAGGCCAGCTTAGAAACTTAATGCAGGACTCTGACTTAGTTTGTCAACAAAGAAGGTGCACAACATGCCTTCTGAGGCAGTGGCAATGTTAAATGTAGGCCCCTGCGCTCAAGATGTAAGAAAAAAGATTTTTTAAATCCATGAAAATGAAAGCAAGGCTCAAGACCACCATGCTAAGCAACAAATAGGAATTACAAGAAAGGGGACCCGTGATACTCGTGGGGGGGGGGAAGAGCTCCAGGCAGAGCAGGAGGAGGAGGAGGAGGAAGCAGCAGCAGCAGGTAAGCCTCCCCCCCATCCCCGGAAACCAGCGGCGCGGCCTGAACGGCTGCCAGCCACCAAGTCCGTTGATCCCCCCTGCCCCGTCCCTGGTCTCCTCCACCCCTCTCCCCTGGTCTCCACCCCCAGCTCCTGCGGTGAGGCCCGAGTGGCTGCCAGCCATTGGGCCTCGCCGATCTCCTCTCCCCCGTCTTCTCCATCCCAACCCCGTCTCCAGCAGCAAGGCCCGAGTGGCTGCCAGCCGCCGGGCCTTGCTGATCTCTTCCCCCGAGCCCCGACCGGCTCCCAGCCACTGGGCCTCACCGATCTCCTCCACCCTCTCCCCCGGTCTCTTCCCCCACCCCTGGCTCCTGTGGTGAGGCCCGAGTGGCTTCCAGCTGCCGGGCCTCGCCGATCTCCTCCACCCCCCTCCCCTGGTCTCCTCACCCACCCCGGCTCCTGCGACGAGGCCCGAGCGGCTTCCAACCGCCAGCTCGCCGCAGAGTTCCCAGAACGTTCCCTGCGCATGTGCAGGGAAGGCTCTTTTACTTTTGGGGGGATTTAGATATCCCCCCTATATTTTTTCTAGTTTTTAGATTTTTGTGCACACCTGGGGACTGCCCCAAGAGTGCAGGAAAATCTCCCTTCCCCCGAGGTGCCCCCGATGTGCGGATTTAGATATCCGCACGCAGGGAGCGCCTTCGCTATTAGATATATAGATTTCACCTTTGTCATACATTACCGAGCACCCACATTGCATCTGGAGCCCCTGTACAGTGCCAGACATCACATAATCACATGTGAGTGCGCAGGTTCTCCTCAATTCCTGACTGTGTGGCGCCCAGTTGAGATCAGGACCACGGTGCACATGGAGAAGGGACTTCAGTCTGCCCCCCCCCCAAATTTTCCCAGCATGAAACAGTCAGCATGAGAAAAAAGAGAACCCTGAAGATATTATTCTATGAACTGCTGGTCTGTCTGTCTGTCTGTCTGTCTGTCTGTCTATTACATTTTTACTGCCCTGTTTCTCAGGAGCTCAGGGTGGTGTATACTTGTGAGGTACACTAGGCTGAGTGTATAAGTGCCCCAAGGTCATGGCAGGCCAGGGGCTTCTGCTGCTGTTGTGGCAGAAATAAAAGCGGAGCAGGGAGGTGCTTTCCCCCTCAGACATGCTCAGTGAAACAAAACTCTCCCTTAGGGAAGGGATTTGAGCCAGCTCCTTGGCTAGAGCCCTTATTAGTGTTCTGAAACTGCTTCTGCGCTGCTGGTGAAGAACCTTGTATGTGAGATGGCAGGGAGACCACAAAGAAGAACCGTCATGTTTTCAGTCCTCTCTTGCTCAGCATGTGGGCCGCCTTTACTTTTGAGAAGGTGATGAAGAAAGGCTACATGAGGTCATCGTGAGGAGTGGAAATCAGGCATGTAAAACATGAAGTGCTGCCAACTCTTTTATAAAACAGCTGCATAATTTAGAGTCCGTGTATGGCAGTTTATTCTCGAGCCGTGGGTATTAATGCTGTAAACAAACAGGTGCGAGTCCCTGGGGGGACTGTGCTTGCTGTTTTCAGACCAGCTTAGAGAATGTGGATTTGGCCTTGAATGGAAAAAGGTCCACTTGCCAGCCCTTCTGTAAGCAAATGGGCTGCTTTTATGGTTTAAATGGTGTCATTTAGTATTTAGCATTTCAGTCCCAAGAAAGGAAAAGGTATTTGAAGTGCACTTGGCTGATTTCATACCATGAAGGGCTTTTTTTTGGGGGGGGGGGAATCTTCCTAGAAGAGAACAAGAGATTGGATTCATACCCCGCCCTTCACTTGGAGTCTCAGAGCGGCTTACAAACTCCTTTCCCTTCCCTTCCCCACAACAGACACCCTATGAGGTAGGTGGGGCTGAGAGAGCTGTTTCCAGAACTGTCCTTGAGAGAACAGCTCTGACAGAACTATGGCTTGCCCAAGGTCATCCAGCAGCTGCAAGTGGAAGAGTGGGGAATCAAACCCAGTTTTTAAAAATTTATCTTTGGATTTATATCCCGCCCTACCCCGAAGGGGTAGGCACGCAGTGCCAAGATTAAAACAACTGAAAACAACATAGCATAAAACAATAAAGTACAATAACAAAAAATCAGTGCTCCATTTGTCACAAGATGGGGTAGATCTTAATCTCAACGGTAACATTCCCATGGTCTGTCATCCCTCCTCCTGCCAGAGTCACCTCGCACCCCGAAGGAACCAGATGGTGGTAGTGATGGTGCGATGGTGCATAGATAGCAATGATGGAGTAGTGGTGGCGGCGGCTCCTACTCAAAAGCCTGGCGGAAGAGCTCCATCTTGCAGGCCCTGCGGAACTGAGAAAGATCCCGCAGGGCCCGGATCTCTTCCGGGAGCTCCTTCCACCAGGTATGAGCCGCCACCGAAAATGCCCTGGCTCTGGTCACCGCATGTTTAACATCCCTGGGGCCTGGAATTTCCAGGAGATGACGACTCCCCGACCGTAGTGCCCTTGGGGGAACATATGGGGAAAGGCGGTCCCTCAGGTAGGCTTGACCCTGGCCATAAAGGGCTTTAAAGGTCTCCCAGATTAGAGTCCACACACTTAACCACTACACCAAACTGGCTCTCCTAGGGTTGCCAGACATAGCCCAGTACTCATTGGGAGACTGGGGGGGGGGGGGGACCAGGAACATGGGGGCACCATTGGGGATGTGTGATGTTACTTCTGAGCATTTTTAAATTGCCCCATGTTGGACGTGAGGATGTTGTCACATCTACTTGGCCCTCATTCTATGGTATATGTAGATTCAGGCCCAATACATTGTTCAAAATGACGTGAATTTTAGCATTTCAGTGAGAATTCTGAGCTGTACTACTTCAAATGAGTGGATGTAGGGATCATGTTTTTAACGATCCCTACACATCATAGAGGGGGAAAAGTGTATAGTGTTCTACACAATTCAAAGGGTGATGGTGGTTGCTTTAACATGAAGAAGTGTTCAAAATATATCCTTTCACCTGTAGTCCAAAGGGGAAGTTGAGTACCTTGTTCTATATAACATGTAGGTCAAATCTGATTCTGGGATGAGCGCTCAATGTACCTTGCATGAGCACTCATACTAATCACTGAAGGCCACACCATCTATATCAGTGTTACTACTGAGCGGAGGTCTCTAAAGATTGGGGAACCCCCAGCATAGGATCTTATATGAATTAGGCCACAGGAATGGTTCACATATGGAAGATTGAGTGTCCAAATGAAAGAACATCTGATGTGGAAAATAATTGACGCTGATTCAAACGGGGAATTATTATCTTCGGGTGACCAACACATTGCTCCAGATAAGCAAAATGTTATGTGAATGAACGTAGTGAGAGTGCCTTTGGATAAAAGGCAATTATCAAACTTTATCTTCCCATGGGAAACAACCCGCTGGTTGTATTCCAATTCACAGGCTGCATTGTGCTCGTTCCCGCAATCCTTCTTAAATAAACATTTTTGTCAATTTGCAAGAGTGGGTTATTAATGCAGGAACTAGTTTAAGTCAGCAACGTCTTAGGGCTTAACTGTGCATGAAACAGAAAGTTGTGTAAATTTGTGACAAACCAACTTTGGATAAGGGGGACTGGTTGTGTGTGTGTACACTTTAACTGCGTACCATTCAGACCATCACTACCCATCATTTCCCCCCTTACAACATAGATTGGGATCCGTACAGAGGGGACAGTGGCCTTTAAGAGGGGTCTGGAATACAGAAATTATGGGCAGAGAAAGGATACTACCCGCCTAGCTGTTGTTCCCTAGCTGATACTACCCGCCTAGCTGTTGTTCCCTATGCAAAGCAACCATTAAGCACAGTCTGATATTACCCGCATAGCTGTTGTTCCCTATGCAAAGCAACCATTTCTCTTACTGTTTACAACTGGGAAAGTGTGGGTCCACAGACTGAGCGTAGAACTTAGGCAGTATCCCTGAGGTTCCCAGTGTATCTGGCCAAGGATAGTCCTCATATCGCCTTCCCCAAATTGAATGCTGGTGTACAAATACCTTCACAGGTTGTCTCATGGGTTTGTTTGCACTGGGTTTGCCTACCCGTGTTATCATGTACTAGTTTTCAAAATTCAGGGTTCAGTCTTCACTTCATTATTCTTTTTGTCCCATAGGTATCTATTTTTGGTTGCATCCCCCCCCCAAGCCAAATATAAATGAAACCATGCCATATAAGCAGACTCTTATACATTTGAATTTAAGGTGATGATGATGACATTATAGTGACAGATGTGAATTTTAAAAAAACCATTTCCCTCCTGCTTGTACTGAAGCCATGAAAGCAAATGGGAAATTTGGACGAGAATAATAAGGTAACACTCTTCACGTTTCTAAGACTCTTCTTTTTGAGGCTTCCCCCCTACTTTTCCTTTTTCCAGAGATTCCCATCTGTTTTTGCTGGATACCCGAGCGGTCTGGGCCACGGAAGAAGGCTGGCTGGAGTTTGACATCACTGCCACCAGCAACATGTGGGTGATAAACCCCCAGCATAACTTGGGACTCCAGATGAGCGTGGTGACCAGGGATGGTAGGTAACAGGAAAACATACTCGAGACATCTGGCCAGTGACCTAGTCACTAATTGGAAGCTGTGTTTATAGCATTCAGCTGTGATGTGATGATCTGACTCATGCAGCCAAACACACAGCTGGGATGCGATGGCTGCGCTCTGGATCCAACAGCACAGATTAAAACCTTTTCCCTGTCTATGGCTTGTCCCATGCCTGTGGGCGTGAAACTCTGGGAATGCCTGACTTGTGGATATTGGGTTGTTGTTTTTTGCCAAGGAGTCTACTGGAGATGCATTGGAAAAAAATTATAGTTCTCAATGTATTAGGGCTGTGGAAGTGGCTTCTAGCACTGAGAGGCAGTTTGGTATAGTGCGGAATCTAATCTGGGAGAACAGGGTTTGGTTCCCCACTCCTCCACATGCAGCTGCTGGTGTGACCTTGGGTCAGCCATAAGTTCTCTCAGAGCTGTTCTTTCACCAGGGGTTCTCGAGAGAGCTCTCTCAGCCCCACCTGCCTCACAGGGTGTCTGTTGTGGGGAGGGGAGGGGAAAGGAGATTGTAAGCCACTCTGAGACGCCTCCGGGTAGTGAAGGGCGGGAGAACGTTGAGAGAGTATTCTCTCATGTTGGGAGAATATATTTCATTGGCTTCAGGGAGAGATCATTTCAGTGACAGACAGTGTTCCCTCTAAGCTGAGTTAGTGTGAGCTAGCTCACAGTTTTTTAGCCTCTGGCTCACACATTTTTTTCTTAGCTCAGGAAAGATGGCTCCAGAGCAAACTAATTTATACAGTAGCCAAATGGCTTGCTCACAACTTTAATGCCAGTAGCTCACAAAGTAGAATTTTTGCTCACAAGACTCCAAAGCTTAGAGGGAGCATTGGTGACAGATTTCCCTGATGGGAATAGAACATGTGAACCTCAGAAGGTGCCTTACACTGACTCAGACCATTATTCCATCTAGCTCGGTGCTGTTTGGTCTGAGTGGCAGTGGTTCTTCGTGGCTGAAGGCAGTCACTGAGGTCCTTTTCACTGGAGATGCCTTAAAAGATGCTGTCCAGTCTGTGAGCCTTCCCTGCAAATTAGAATATCATCTATTAATGACAGGGGCGAAGGGATGGAGAGGGGGAAAGGACAGGGCAAGAGGATGCTGCTTGTAGGAAAGAAGCTGTGTTGCTCAAAAGAGTTATTCAGACACACTGTGCTCTTTATAGGACTCATGGCATTTTTTTCTTTTTGGTGTGTATTTAATTTATAGGCCTCAGTATAAACCCTAGAGAAGCAGGCCTAATAGGCCGGGACGGCCCTTATGACAAACAGCCTTTCATGGTGGCCTTTTTCAAAGTGAGTGAGGTTCACGTTCGAACAGCGAGGTCGGCCGCCGGCACGCACAGGCAGCAGAGTCGAAACCGCTCCACCCAGCCTCAGGATGTTTCCAGAGTATCCAGCAGCACAGGTAACTTCTTAAATGCCTGCTAGGTCATGTGGAAATGAAATATTGCTTAGAAGATTAGCGATTACCATTTATGAATTGCTTTTATATTTTTGTTTTTAATTCAGGGGGGATTTTGTCAATAAAGCTGAAGGAGAGCAAAAAAAAAAAGTGAAGTGGACTTAGTAGGGGAATTTTGAATTATATGTGACCAGGGGTCATTTCGTAGAAAAAGAGGTGCAGGAGCTTATTAGCATAACCCATTAGCATAACTTATTTGCATATGCCACACCCCCTGACATCACCGGAAGTGTGTCAGAAGGCAACACCCACCGCTCAGGCTCCACTGGACTGTTTTGGATTGCTAGCTGTTGGGGGGGGGGAGTGCAGATCTGTCCTTGCAGAGGAGGGAGAGCTTGTACCTAAATAAAACGTGGTCTTAAAGGTGCCACTGGACTGTTTTGGACCAGGGGGCTGGAGGGGGGGGCTCTGCAACTTACCTGGCTGCTTCTTGCTGTGACTGAGGGCTGCTGGGAGCAGGGGGTGGGGCTTGTTGCATGTGCCCGCCCCCTGGGCTCTTTACTGCCGGAGCTCCGCTCCTGTGCGCTCCTGCAGGAAATGACCCCTGTATGTGACATTTTATTTATTAAATAGTTATTTATTAAAACATATATATCCCACCTTTCCCTATGGCATCCTGTTGGTGCGTTCACTGTGTTCATCTGATCATGGCACATTTGTATTGGAAGACCTTATGCCTTTACAAGTTGTGTATAAGAGGGAATTTTGACAGATAACAGCTTTTCATACAGGGATGAGGAAAACTGGACTTACTGAAATCCTCTTCTATGCACGTCTTTTTTCTTTGTGTACAATCATGCTATTTCCATTTCATAGGAAGCACTGATTGTCTTTTCTGCTCTTGAGTAGAGAAACAGATAAAACAATTACTGAGTTCACGGTTTCCTATTAACACTATCCCATGAGGATGTCATGTACAGTACAAGTTGTCCCTTGGCGAATCTATTTAATCTTTTAGACTATGGAGTATAGTGGCAGGAAGAGTGTATTTCAACTGTCTTTGAATGAGGATCTGAAACATGTGCTATTTTGAGTGGCATCTCATTTGCAGATTTTCTCTTAATCTAGGAGTAAAGTCAGTAGCACACGTGGGGGGTCCTTCATGGCTATGGCATGAGGGAAGGGTTTACCCTTTCACCCATGCCATTTCTCTGACCTCTGCTATCCCTTAGAGCTGCTATTTAGCCTGTAATGAAACGTAAAAGTATTGCATCAAACTGTCTATGTGGTTCACTGGCTGAACTCCTATAACACTGAAAAAGCAGTAATGAAATCCATGAGTGAAGTTCTCCATGTAGAACAGAACTCTCCTGCCTCCCCTCACTGTTGTTACTGAAACACTTCCCTGGGGATCAGGACACCCCCCCCCCCAGAACAGTGAAAGTCTGTAATAGGAGTGGACAATTGGCAGAAATCACCCCTCCACACACACACAGAGTCAGAGTAGCTGAAGTGCCATTCTTCCATGGTTTGGATCCAACCCATAAAGTATGTTTGTTTCCCCTGAAGTTCAATGCTATTTCACCATCGAGTGTATAGTGTACCATCTACATACTATTAGTCACCCATGGCCACCATCTGCAAATATCTAAATCCATGTATTGGGACCATGTGGAGGCTAAAGAGATTTTACTGCAGTCTTGGGGCGCTCCCCAGGTTTGCAGAAAAATCTGGGGAAAAAATACACGGGGAAGGGTTAAATCCCCCCCCCAAGTAAAGGGTGGAGCCTGGGACTGCCTTGAAACAAGAGGAAAGGCGGGACTCCCTCCAAAGTAAAGGGTGGAGCCTGGGACCCATGGCGGGCTGTTCAGAAGCTGCCCTGGGACCTACTGTGGTGGCCGCCAGGAACTATTCCGGGCCCTGCCACAAGTAGGAGATGCTGGGAGCCAATCGGGGCCCTGCTGTGGCAGACACTGGGAGCTGCTCCTTGGAGCTCTGCAGGAGGTGCTGCAAGGCCTGCCGTTTGCCAGGGCTTTTGAGAGGGTTTGAATAGCAGGCATCATTTAAGGGGGAAGGGGAGAGGGATATTGGGGCTTGTTATTTTATCTTTGGTTTTAGCTGGGGATGTTTTAATTGTTATTGTATACTGCCTTGAAACAAGAGGAAAGGCGGGATAGATTGGCTGAATCTAAAAAAGAAGAAGGTTGGAAAAACCAGATGTAGCCGATAGAAATCATTCTCGGCCTTTGCACCAACCTGCTTTTCATACAGCAAGGCTGGGCCCATGAGCAATCCTAGTCAGAGTATATATATGTGTGTGTGTGTGTGTGTGTGTGTGTTCTGAATTTTATTTAGTTATTTGCATTTTTTTATAGTCCGCCTTTCTCAGGAGGTCTTCAAGGCGGCTTACACAGAGTGAGTCAGTCCAACCAACAAAATGGGACATTCAGTAACCCACGCACTGGGATTTTAGAAGTCTGGAGCCAACCAGAAAGAGCCTGCAGCACAGCATAAGTGCTCACAGAACACTTTAAGCGGTACAGGAATTACATCAATAGGATCCCATTTACAGTAAACTATACACTGCAGGGTAGACTACAGTCCCTAATCATTCATCCAAGTAAGTTTGTGAAACATTTTGTGCAGGGCAGACCTATTGCCTGGGCAGAAGAGCCCTCTTGAACAATTCTCTTTTGCACAGCTTGCAGAAAGCCAGGAGAGGGGGGCCCTTCCTGACCTCATAGGGCAGGGCAGTCCGTAAGTCACAGCAGAGAAAGCTGCATGGGCAGAACATGGGCCCTGCCAGTAATCTTTTATTTATTTAAAACATTTATTAGCAGCCTTTCTACCTTATGGGGCTCCAGGTGGCTTACAGTGTAAATAACAATAAAATACAACAAAATACATATAAAACTCACTAAGTTAGAATCGGTAGTTTATAACTGCTGGTAGGCAGAAGAACTAGTCAAATGCCATCAAGAATAAAGCTGTCCTCCGCTGCCTCCTAAAGATCAAGAGTGGAGGGGCCGGGATCACCTCCGTTGGGAGGCGGTTCCAAACCATCGGGCTGCCACTGAAGACGCCTTCTATCGTGTACCCACCAGACAAGCGTCTTTGGTTGGCAGGGCAGTCAAGAGGGCCTCCCCCTGAGTTCTTGGGCAGGAACAAACCATCGGGCTGCCACTGAAGACGCCCTCTATCATGTACCCACCAGACAAGCGTCTTTGGTTGGCAGGGCAGTCAAGAGGGCCTCCCCCTGAGTTCTTGGGCAGGAACATATGAGAGAAGATGGTCCTTCAGATGTCCTGATCCCAAGCCATGTAGGGCATTAAAGGTCAAAACCAACACTTTGCATTGGGCTCAGGAGCAGATCAGAAGCCAGGGTAATTGCTGTAGGATTGGGGTCACATGATCCTGGTAATTGGCCCTGACCAGCAGTCTGGCTTTAACATTCTACAGTAGCTGCATAAGAACATAAGAGAACAATGTTGGATCAGGCCAAAGGCCCATCTAGTCCAACACTCTGTCACACAGTGGCCAAAAATACCAGGTGCCATCAGGAGGTCCACCAGTGGGGCCAGGACATTAGAAGCCCTCCCAGTGGGGCCAGGACATTAGAAGCCCTCCCAGTGGGGCCAGGACATTAGAAGCTGCAGCAGCACCCAAACACTCTTCAAGGGTAGCCCCAAGCAGAGCATACTGTAACAGTCCAGTCTAAGTGTAGATGGATCACTGTTGCTAGATCAGAATGAGCCAGGAATAGACGCAGCTGGGCAAAAGCACTCTGAACCACAGGAGCCACCTGATTTTCTAAGGTGACCACTGTGTCAAGCAGCATTCCCCATCTGCAAACCTGGCTTCTCAAGGGGAGTCCAACCCCATCCAAGACAACGGAGACCTTAAGGCCCCCATCTGTCTTTCTACCAACCCAGAGCACCTCTGTCTTCTCAGGATTAAGTTTCAACTTTGACGCTTCCCATATGTGCTGGATGCCACCCTGTCTTGAAGCATTGCATTTATTGTTACAATATGTTTAGATATACTTAAAGCACCCCCTCCTCCCCCCTTCACATTAAAATGAGGTTCCTCAGTCCTATCTGTCAACTTTATTCTGATCTCAGAGATCACTATTGTGTTTGTGCAGTTACGTGGCTTGGAGTTGGGACCTTAAATGTTATTTAGCATTGCACTGCAGCTGGCTGGAAAAATCTCTAAAATATTGACGGAAATTAAGCAAACATTTTCCATTTGCTGACCAGTCCTTGTGCCTTATGATAAACCGACACTCTCCTTCTGGCATATGTTTTGCTGGATTGTGTTAGCATCTGTTCCTGGTCTATGAACAAGTACTTCTCCATTTGCAGAATGAGTTATTATTTTACTTATTATTTTACTTATTATTTTACTTATTATTTTACCTCTTCGTAGCGAGCTCCTGGTTTTTTCTTCAGATTCAGAACTTACTGTATTCCCAAACAAACAACTGATTAAATGCATCCCTTTCATAACCATTAAATAAATGCTACCACAAGCGAAAGAATCAATAAGCCACAGAGATAGGACTAGACCAGTGGTGTCAAACTCATTTGTTATGAGGGCCGGATCTGACATAAATGAGACCTTGTTGGGCCAGGCCATGTGTGTCATAAAATGTAATGCCAGGTAGCGGAGATATAAACTT